GAAGAGGGTTTATGTATTAAATAGATTGAAAACCTTACCATTTTATGAATGAGTGCTTATTCTGTGCTTCTGAATATCTGACTTCAGCATTGTTTTTCAGATAAACAAGAATGTTCACTTGGCATGTTTCTTAAATAGCTGCAAACATAGTATGGTATTTTTGTGTTTTAGAAAACTTACATACAGCTCTTTTAATGTTCACGTTGCTGTAAAGATTTTAACCATTCTTTTAGCTTTACTGAAAAAAACAGGAGTTCTGATTGTAAATTTAAATCAACAGGCATGTCATTCCATAGATGTAAAACTCTTACTGAAAAGGATGACTGACTCAGTGGTTCTGCATCTGCAGATTCTACAATTCCCACTTAGTGCCCCTCTGCCCCATCACTGCTGAATTTATGTAGTAACTCACAAACTACCGGTCAAGACCATAAAAACACTTTAACATGTCTTAAGTTATAATTTTTAAGAATTCAACAATGATGCCATTTTATTGGTTTCTGATCCATTACTTTTAAAATGTGTTAGTAAAGTAACATTACAGGCTTAACAACTGACTGAGTAGCTTGACCTCAGGCACAATAACATTGCACAAACATTTGCGCTGCTTTAAGAGATATACAGTTGATGTCAAAATTATTAGCCCCCTTGAATTATTAATTTCTGTTTAACAGAGAGATTTAACACATTACCAAACATAATAGTTTTCATAACTAATTTCTATATACACTTTTATATAGCTTAACGTGACATTTAAAGGGTTAACTAGATAAATTAATTAAATAGGCAGGTTAGGGTAATTAGGCAAGTTTATTTATTACATTAAATATAAGCTTCGAGTCTATAGTGACAGTTACGTATTTAAATTTACTCACTTTCTTGATTTCCTTTTGGTCAATTTGGATGGTAAACAGATCCAGTGCTTTATTTTTAACTAAAACACATTGAAACTGTTTTGTTGTCATTTACAGTCAGACATTTATCCTGCTGCCACTAGAAAATACTGACCAGTTGCTTGGTTAAGTGCTGTTACATAAATAGTTGTATCATCTGCATACATTTGACAACCAACTTTCAGGTAAATCATTTATATACAAACAGAAAAGCAGTGGTCCTAATATTGAGCCTTGTGGTACACCTTATTTGCATTTTAGAACCGTTGACTTAACAGCATTAATTTGAGCACATTGCTGCCTACAAAAAGAAGATATTTTAAGTTATAAATGTTTTTAAAAAAGTGAAGGGTGAAATGAAAATTTCATTTTTGGCTTTAATATTCCTTTACGGCATGTGACTGAGTCCAAACATTTCAGAGTTAAATGCATCCGGCCACTAGAAATTATATTGTTTGTAAAAGATTACATAATATACAACGAATATACTATGCAGCATCGATTATTCAATATCTGTACCTGAATACTGTTAAGACTCCCCAGAAAACTAATTCACATTATTTTTTCTTTATTAGATTTATCAGTTCTTTGTTCTATATTATTTGAGATTCACTTCATAAAAAATCAACTCAAATCAATTTAAAATGAAGAGTTCTTTCCAAATAAAGGTGTATCGCAGAAATACAAAATATCGCAATGTCAGATTACTCCAATGCCGTGCAGCCCTAATTTTTGTTGCTAAACTAACAAACTTTCTCAGTAGATGCATTATAGTTTACAACCACTTGAGGGAGCACAGAATTAGTTTGAGTTCAATCTTTATAAAAACTACCGATTAATTATTTTAAACAATCATTTGAACAGTTTATTTTAAAAAAGGTTTATGCTGTGCTTCGATGCGTTTCTTTTGAACTGCCAGTAGGGTGTGAATTGAATTAGTTTAATAGGAAAATTCTGATTTCAGATGGAAAGCAAGATCTATGTAATGAATGGCAAAATTTGTGTTTTGAAGTTAACTGGTCATGCCTCAAGCTTTAAAATGATTTGTATCTGCTTAATATCTAATATAATAATCTTATTAAAATTTTAATTTAGCTCATTTTCATTTTCAGACTGTGTAAAGCACGCCAGGACAGCAAAGAGCAGGTCCCTGAGGGTTAATTCTAACAATCTTTAAGCAGAAATCATTTATTATGCATCTTCTAATTTCTTTGTGATGGTGACCTATTTCCTGATAACTAGGCAAAAGACATAGACACATTTTTCTTTTTTTTTCTTCTACTGTACACAATGTGTGCTTTTCCGAAAGTAACCATCATTTGGGTCTTACACACATGCACCCTTTCGGTATTAATTAAGAAAATGCTTCCTAATTAGTCTTTAATTTGCCTTCTTTTCTCGGAGCTCTTGTGCTGGGACTCTTGCGCAGTTTAATTGGCCTGGCCTTAACGAGCTTTCTCTCATCATTACCCCTCATGGGTGGTTTAACGACCTTATTTGAATATGAAAAGACTATAATATATGCAGATTTCTACACTGCACGCTGTTTCTTGGATAAAGACAGAACCTCACAAAAGGACACGTGATTATCTTCAGGATACTGGCGGGGAATTATATATAGTGTAGGCCTATATTATTTTAAAACATATTAAAACTCTATTTTAGAGCGAGAG